TGGTTCCCTAACAAGAAATGCGTCCATCTGACACCCTAAGAAATCTTTACAACATTATTGACTATATTCCCCAAACTGTCTTTCATATCCCTGTGGCAATATTGAAGTTACCAATTTATGTTGTCTCATCCTTTCCCCTTCTCCCTCATCCCTCCCCCCCCCCATCTAGCAACCATCAGTTTTCCCTCTATGTCTCTGAGACTATTGCCTTCTTGTTATAAGTCACTTCCCATGTACTGGGGACTGCTCCCCAGGAATCACCTCAACTTCTCAGATACTTGGTTGAATGTCTCAGAATTATAGAAACATTTTGTACAACATAAAATGTGTTTAGACTCTAGGAGATATACTTTCAATTATACTCAATTCAATTCAACTCAACCAAGATTTCTTAAGCAAATTCAGAGCCAGGACCTGTACTAGAGCCTGGGGATATGAAGATGAAAGAGACAAAAGAATGCTCTCAATGAGTTCCTGGTCTTATTGAGGAGACCAAGCTTACAGTGTGTGTTAAGAACTAGGCATATATACCTAGTCAGAGGGAGAAGCAGCTCTGAGAGTAGAATAGTCAACCACCTGGGAGGGAAATATGGAGATGACAAAGCTCCCATGTGCAGTGGCTATATATGCATCATGCCTTTGGGAATTAGGAGATATAGTACATTGCATTATTGGCCCCAATTTTTATCTTTCCATATATATATAGATATATCTATCTATCTATCTATATATAGATATATATATACTTTTTGACATGACCTCATGGAGGCAATCACCTGTCATCCCTTAACTCTGAGAAATTAAGGGACATAATGCAAGCAGGAGTGTGGGACAAATTTGCACATTTGGACTTGTGTTTTCATGCTGCTACCCTTGCCATAAAGACATGCTCAGGTCAGCCTGCTGGCCCCAGGAGCAGACTGAGAGAATGGAATGAAGTTGCTCTAGCTAAACTACCTCAGCCAAGGTAGCCTAGAGCAGCACCCCCAACTGACACATCCCCACTCGCAGGGTCTATAAAAATTAATTACTGTTGCAGTCAACTCCTTAGTGTTTGATGGTTTATTATGCAACAATAGCTATCCACACAGGAATCACTGAAGCTGTTGAACAGTATATCAAATGTATATTTTAGAAAGATCACTCTGGAAAACATTTTGACAGTATGTTGGAAGGGTAAGAGATTAGAGGTAGGCAGACAAGCCAAGAGATCACAATATCTAGCTGACAGATGATAAAGGCTTGAACTACAGTGACAATGTAAAAAAGTGGATTCAAGAGTGATATAGGATATAGGTCATAGTGATTTATTGGATATGGGTGGTGAAAAGAATGGTGTTGAGGATGGCTTGCAGATTTTTAGGTTAGATTACTGACAGGACTGATGGTGATAAATTGAAAATATAGGAGTTCAAGCAGGTAAATTTGTTAGTGGACAGAAAACAACAGCATGCCAGTAGCCCATACCCTTCTTAGCAAAGATATCTAGAAGTAATGAATTCAGTCAAATTCTCCATGTAAATGCGGTAATGACCTGAAAAAAAGACCACCTGGTAAATATGCTAATGGTGTTTATTGGTGGAATGATACTTGGCAGTCCTTACTTATAAATTTTTTTTCATGGGACATGCCTGGTTTCTCTTGATTACTGTACACAAAACTGGAATTTATGGACTTATAGGTCATGGATAGCTGAAGAATGAAAAGTTGTACTACAGACAGAAATTAATTGTATAAAATGGGCTTTTCTAAAATGGAAATGGATATATGTGTGTGTTGTATTTCCAATACATTGCTCAAAAAGATCTTCTCTGTTAAATATGAAACCAAAATTCATTTAAATGAGGGAGAAAAATGGTCTTTTGGGGCTCTATGTCCCACTGTCTCAGATTCACCAAGAAATGAATGCTTTATCTGTGACTGGCGACTTCCTGCTTCTTTTGATTATTGTTAAGTTTTGCTTTTAGGTATGATCTATAACTGTGTAAGTCTCCTTTGCCAATTCAACACTTTCTGTTCTCAAAATGTGGATGTGAATGCTGGGGACAAGGAGTGGTGTGCAACTTGGATTGAAGACAATGCTTATAGAACAAACAGAAGCCACCAACAAGGACCCGGCACTTCTATTCATAAATAATGAATGTTCTTCAAAAGATAGGCTCCACCCAGGGAGTGTAAGCAACCTACCTGTGCTAATGAACAGGGCTGGGGGCTGACTTACATAAAAGACTTTCTTCGATTACGATATGAAGACAACGTGGATGGAGTGAGTACCAGAGTTGCCAGAAGGAGATGGTGCAGTTCTCAGAAAAAGTAAGGGATATTAGGCAGACAGACAATAGCTGTTCTTAATGAAATTCTCTCAGGTGGGCACACAGTTTTAACGTTCAGATAGAATTAATGTCAAGTTCTTTGTTGTCCTGGAATCACTTGAAATGTTCTGTGCATTCACTGTTTTGCTCGTTATAATGGGTTTATGCTTTATGTCTCCTCAAATATTAACTTTTTGCGAGCAGGAGTGTGTTGTACACCAGTGATTCTCAAACTGAGATCATACAAATCACCAGGGGATTTGATAAAATGAGGATTCTGACTCAGCAGGTCTGGCATGGAGCCTGAGAATCTGCATTTCTAACAACCTATCAGGAGATGCTCATGCTGCTGGTCCATGAAGCACATGAGTAACCCTGGTCTAGCTCTAGATAGACCGTTTATCAGAGTAAGAGTCTCTCACAGCTGTTTATTATGGGTTCTTAATGATAGGAATTATTCCCACGGCTGCCTTCCATAAAGAAATTCCCCATTTGGGTGAGGCTCCTTCAATGTCTCCTTTTTCTTCCTTGGAATAAATCAGAGAGAAGCCCATGTAGCAAAACAACACTTTCCTCCCTCCCCGCCACACAGTGGCTGCTAGCTGGCTTGGAATCAAGATACGACGCCCATCAATGGCAATATGTTAATTGTCCTCAGAGAACTATATTACAATAGTCCTCCTTTATCCACAGTTTCACTTTTCTCCGTTTCAATTACTCTCAGTCGATGGGGTCTGAAAATGTTAAATGGAAATTCCAGAAATAAGCAATTCATAAGTTTTAAAGTTTAAACTGTTTTGAGTATCAGAAGAAATCTCAGGTCGACCTGCTCCCTCCCGCCCAAAACGTGAATCATCCCTTGGTCTAGCATATTTTTGCTGTATATGAAGGTCTGATAATTAAGTTCGAGAACTTGTTGCAACGATGTTGCTAACCTTTTTTGATATCAGGGGGATTATTCATTATGAATTTGTACCAACTGGACGAATAGTTAACCAAGTTTGTTATTTGAAAGTGCTGAAAAAGCTGCGTGCAAAGTTAGACTTTTCGCCAACAATTCATGGCTCTTGCATCACGACAATGCACCAGCTCACACAGCACTGTCTGTGAGGGAGTTTTTAGCCAGTAAACAAATGACTATATTGGAACACCCTCCCTACTCACCTGATCTGGCCCCCAATGACTTCTTTCTTTGCCTGAAGATAAAGGAAATATTGAAAGGAAGACATTTTGATGACATTCAGGACATCACGGGTAATATGATGACAGCTCTGATTGTCATTCCAGAAAAAGAGTTTCAAAATTGCTTTGAAAGTTGGGCTAGGCACTGGCGATAGTGCATAGCTTACCAAAAGGAGTACTTCAAAGGTGTCTTTAGTGATATTCAGCAAAGAGGTATGTAGCACTTTTTCTAAGACGAGTTCATGAACTTAATTGTTAGATCTCATGTATGTATAGGGAAAAACATAGTATATATAGGATTCGGTACCATCTGCAGTTTTGGGCATCCACTGGGGATAAGGAGGAACTATTGTATAACCATATAAAAGGCTTTTTGGAAAAATGCTTTTGAAGAAGTTTTAGGATATCTAATTTCACCTCGCCTATTCACAGGGCACAGCTGAAATCCTCCCCAACCCCATGGTCTCTGCTCATATCTGTAATACTCATCTCCCCTATTGATTTAAAGATAACATCCTCTACTGAATTTCATTACCATTTACATGTTTTCCACGCTTGTCTCCCTTAGAAAATATTAAAATCTTGAAGGTAAGGAATGGTAATAACAGAAACTACTACATCAATTAACAATCAAACATTTACTATTTGTCAGGCATTGTACCATAGGCTTTATATGTGTTATTTTATGCAGTCCTCTTGACAATTCTATTATCTCTATTTCTATTATAAGAAAACTGAGGATTAAACAGAATAAAGAACTTACCTGAGGCCTATTGAAGACTACAAGTTACCATCCAATATCTATTCTCCATTTTTTTACCTTGTGATACAACCAAAATTCCATTTTGGGAAGCAATTCAGTTCACTGAAAAATTGCCTTTTGAATACTCTCTTGAAGCTAGGTATGTATGTGACTAAGGCATAGCAATGAGATGTAAGCTTAACTGTGGTATAGAACTTGAGGATGTGTAAAGGGAGGTGAGACTAATGAGGTGCAAAACATTTTTTTGAGATAAGCACTTGTCACCCTTCTGACTTTTTTCCTTATTTAGGCCTTGACGATTCTTCAATGGCTTCCAGCTTTGGGCCACAAGTGAACTTGGGGATAAAAGCTACATGCTAACATGGTGGAGCCAAAAACTAGGAAGAGCCTGCGTCTCTGATGACCTTGAAGCAGCACTTCCAGCACAGAACTAATAGAGCTGCAGACTTCAGTTACATGAGAGAAAAATTAACATGTACTATTTCAGCCATTTGGGGTTTTCACTCACTGTCACCCTAAGTGAAGCATATCTCACAGCTGATAAAAGATATTGCTGAGATTCAGTCCTAAGCAATTTTGTATTTTTATCCTACTCTCAGTGCCTAATTACATGATATGCACATCATACGTTCTGCTTACTTTGGCTGCAAGAATGAACTCCTTATTTAGAAGGTTAAAAAAACTGTATATATTTTGTATTAAAATAACCCTTCCCAGGATTTCCTTGCAGATTCAGCAGAAAGAATGCAGAATACATTGGCACTCCCCTAAATAATTAGAAAATGTGGTAAAGCTGTTTCTTGACTATTGGAAATGCTTTTCAAAATCCTTATTTTATATATTGGTGTTCCTGTGCTCTATATTTTTCTCATTTGCAATTCATATGTCTGAAGTTGCCATTATCATTTGTGTATTCATTTTGGCAAATATTTATTAAACGCCTATTGTATATCAGGAACCAGTTACTTGTTGGGGACAGAAGGGTGAACAAAATAGGCAATATGCTTGATATTATGATGTTTATATTCTTGGGGAGGTGGGGTGAGGGTGTGGAGAGAGAGAAAATAATAAGCAAATAAGTCAGGCAGTAATATGTTTAGTGGAGAAAATTCAAGTGGAGTAAGGGGCCAGTGTTGCCAGGATTGGGGTAGTTACCTGAAACAAGTAAGAGTAAATAAAGGAACTTTTGTTTCCTGGCTAGGGCTGTCAACATATGTTTTTAGTTTGGGAAAGAACATATATCTTGATGACAAAGATTGATACATTTCTGAAAAGGTCCTCCATTGTTCTTGACAATTTGAAAAACCTTCTGTTGACTTGTCTGAGCATTTTGTGTCCAATAAACCCAACTGGACAATAACTAGTTTGCTTTTTCTATTCTTTTTCTTCTGCTGTGAATGTGATGTCATTCCATCAGGAGTTCAATGACTTCTTTTCTCAAACAGGATTGTACCTTATTAAAACAATTTGGAGAAGAGAATGTGAATACATGAGCAAATTGAGTGTGTATGGGAGTGTGGGTATGTATTTCAAATGCACAAGTATATCTAAGATGGAGCTGGAACAAACAAGATAATCCTGATGTTTATTTGGTCAAAAGATTGATATTCCTAAATAGCCAACCCTAATTCTTCTCAGTCCTCTTAAAATGCAAACTTGTTCCCAATGTTATATGGTCTGAAAATTAAGTGGAAGTAGAAAGGGAAATAGGAAATTTGAGAGCAGTAGAAGGTAAGATCATGAGGCAGCTGCTAAAGTTTCTGCACAAGGGCAGAAAACTTCTCAATGTTTAAAGGCATATCATGCAGCCTTTTCCATTTTGATTTCATTTTCCTCATCTATCGAATAAATGAGAATCCAGATAATCTGCAGGTCAATCATTTTCTAGAAATTAGAATTCCAGAGTTAATAGTCCTTGGCTTTGTCCTCGGACTGAAATCCATCTGCCTAGCACAAACCAACAGAAACCAACCTCCCTGTCAATTACAGGAAGCCTCTCAGAAGCCTGTAGTGAGTAGTAATATTTATTATTGGAATTAAAGTTAATAACTTCTGTCTAATGTGGAAATGTACTGATGTCTAGGACAGTATACTGTTGCCTCTAAAGAGAACTACAAATTGAATTTTGAGTTTAATTGTGGTATATAAATCATGAAATTCTATTACTATATCATTGTATCCTGATCTAGTTTTGCAAAATCTGATTGATTGTACCCTAAGAGGCTGATATTTTGCTTTTCTCTGTTAATGAGACGATTAGTAATAAAAGTCATATTGGTCTTTATGTTTTATGTTCATCTGAAACCCCTGGAAACAGAGCCTGAGACAGGGATTCAGAAGTAGGTGATTAATTGAGGAAGAGTTCTCAGGAGAAAAGGAGTGGGGAACAAAGTTAGAACAGTGGGGGGAAAGTAACATAAGCAAGGACATGTTCTCACCTGGAATCTGACCTCAGTCTAATCCCCCAGCGAGTTCTGGAGCGTGAGTTGTACCATTCTCACCTGGTGTTTTGTACCCCTCTGTATATCGGTTGCTGGCTACAGGCTGTCCTTCGCCCCCAGAAGGGAGGTTTATAACCTACCAAGGAAGGTGGCTCCCATGGGCTGATGGTAATTCTATGCAGCTGTGAGCCATCAGCAACCAATATTTAAAGAAGCTCAGTTATGGGTGCATTGGCCCGTGGGTATACCAGCCTGGTAAGGGCCACCCAAAAGTGTCTACAACGTTTCCCTTTCTATTTTTCATCCAGGAAAATGTCCTGCTTGCCTTCTCTTTTTAGTATTCTCTCACAATTCCCTCTTCACTCTCCTTTAGGACTCAGGCTTTTTGTCCCACTCCTAAAAGATATGAATGATTGAATTATTCCTTGAATAATTGACCCAACCTGTGCATGAGCAACAGCTTATCAGGAGACAACAGACCTCTGAATTTTGTAATCAAAGCATGATACTTCAAAGATAGTGCCCTGGCACCGTCTTCGAGTTGTACAACTAACAACCAGGATTTTTCTGCATCTACATTTTTTTTCATGCTCTTACTGCCTATGCGATAAATAGTTTGGAGCATGAACAGTCGTGTTTGTCTATCTGTTTTCAGCATCTGTCTTACTTTTCCTAGCAGAGAGCAGACATTCAATAAATGCTAATGAACAACTGAATGAATAAATGAATAGTGAGGTGAGTATTGAGATATGAACTTTACTGTTAGAGTTGTACTATTCAAAAGATTGAAAAGTTTACAGGAACCAGGCCAGTAATACAAATGGGTAAAAGGGTTGTGGCCAATTTTAGAGCCCATACACTATCCTACACGCTCAACTACTAATTAGATAGTCGAAACTGGTTAAGAATGGTGGCCTAGATGTTTTGAATTTTTTTCAAGAAAACATAGAAATTTCTTTGTTTTTAAATGTTAAAAACTAACTTGCAGAACACTAAACAACTGACATTGTTAGAACCAAGAAATACGTTTATTAACTGCATTTCACCTGGGAGCCTTCGGTTTGTATCCCCTGCCATTGATGATTGCTGCTATTTCCTGTTTGAGTGGACAACAATAAAAAAAGGAAGGATGAGAGAGTGGTATACCCTGTCATCTCCTACTAATCAAAAGTAGCTCAACCTTGGGCTGGCCGAGTGGCTCAGTTGGTTAAGAGCTCATTCAAGAGTTTGAGCTCTGAGCAACAGCGGTTCGATGCCCGGCCCGAGCTGAGCAGCCACTGAGCTGCCAACAGGTAGCAGGATGGCTCAGCTAAAANCAACAGCGGTTCGATGCCCGGCCCGAGCTGAGCAGCCACTGAGCTGCCAACAGGTAGCAGGATGGCTCAGCTAAAAAAAAAAAAAAAAACAGCTCAACCAGGAGCATGTCTTGTTTTGTTCCCTATAAAACTCTGCGTTGAGTCCCTTCCTGTCCCAGGGACATTTTCTCATTCTACCCTCTTTGTTCCTGTCTGTACTTAAATGTTATTGTTCCCAAGGCTTCAATCCCTTTCTTTACCCTCTTGCCTTCTCACTCAGTGCTTGGAGTTTGTAACCACTCTTCTAGAAATCCTGAAGAAAACTGTGGCTATGACTGAAAGGGGGTCAGTGAACACATAAATTCCTTTGCAAAATTGTGTGTATGTGTTTATGTGCATTTTTTATGTGGAAGAGTTTGTCATTTTTACCAGATTCTACAAGTGGTACTCCTTTGTCGTAGGTTATTTCATTCGCTCGTGAACCTCATCTACACTTCCCTGTATCTTACAGCTAGGTCATAACACATTCCCTTTCCCTCTTTTAAAAAATATTTTAGTGGATTCCCACTGCCTTCAAAATAAAATGCAGATTTCTTTTTTAGATTAGCTAACAGGATCCCTTATCATCACTTCCAACTCTTGTACCCTATGCCTCATCAATTGTTAACCATTCATAATCTTAAGTTCCTTCATGCTTCCATGTTTGCGCACATGTCACCAACACTTCCCACCTCTCACCCATCTACCCCTGGATAGCCCATGTTTATCTTTGGGTTGAGGTCCCCCAAAGTAGACCCTAAGACAAGGACTTGAGTGTGAGTGTTTTATTTGGGAGTTGATGCCAGGAACCACCAACAGGAAAAAGGAAAGTGAGACAGAGAATAGGTAGAATCAAGTAAAAGGAGTGTTTATCAAATCAGTTACCACAGTGGGGAATTAGAGACACTGTGTCCCACTGTGGAACTCTAGAAAACAATGAAGAACAACTTCAGAGTTATCTCACTGTAAAGCAACAAACAAACAAACAAAACTGGGGCATTTAACCACCAACTCCTGGAAGTCATAGGTTGAAAGCTGCTCTTGGGGGAACTTCCGGCAGCAATTGGGTGTGTTCCAAGGCCAGAAATAAAGCCCTCAGGTGGTGAGTCTTAGGTGTCGTCAGTAAATTTCCTGTAGCACAGAAGTGAGTGGTGAGGGCAGATGGGCAGGATAATGTCAGTTTCACTATAAAACCCCCAATGGACAGATTACTCTGTAAACATAGTCAAAGGAAACTAACCCAAAGGAAGTTCTCCAAAGATCTTTCTCCCTCATTTAAGTTATGTAACTTTCCATTGCGCTCTCTTAGTGGCCTGAATAACTTCTATCAGAATTAGCTACATAATTGAGAAAATGTTTATTAAGTAGATTCCAGGGGCTGGGCATTGTACCGGGCAACAAAGGTGTGGCAGTGAAATCAACAGTCATCCAATTATCAATTACAGGTGTGATGAGTATCACACAACTATAGCAAGATGATCACTTGTCTGCCTCCATGTCTAAATGATATCTTTTTTGTCTAAATTCTCAGGCCTTACTCATTATCTGGCACAGAGTGGGCATTCAATAAATGTTTACCAGTGATCAGTGAATAAATGAAGTATATTACCCAGGGTTATTCGGAGCCCTTTATTTGGAAATTGTGAGACTATGGAACGATTCCAAGATGAACTGGACATTTAAACTCTATCTGGGAAATTATTACCTGCTGTGGAACATGTCACCTTGACTGGGGTCATTTTAGTGTGGTAGTAATGCCTGCCTAAAAACAACACTCCGTACAATTTCAAATAGTGTGTTCTTTGTCAGTAAACTCAAAACAAGCCAACTTTGCAGCTAGAATCACCGTAATTGATCAGCTGTAATTAATACCCAGGTCTAAGTGGCAGCCTCTTAATCTTTGAAGTTAATTTCCACTATGAACTTTTAAGTTCATCTAACCTAGTAAACCCAAACCAGAACAGAACAAATCACTTCCTGACCTTTCGGTGAAGTCAAATGCTGTATAATGTATGGGGCATTTTATTTTGACAGAACTGAATTTTTCTTAAGAAGGAGTACATAAAGTCTAAAGAACTATTTTTACATTCAAGAATGGAAGTTTCTACATGTTTGTCTAGAAGACTTGTTAGGAGTCACACATTCAAAGACTTTACAAAGGAAAATGCATTTGAATTATTTTTCAGATGTAAATGCAGTCTTTATTTCCATTTACTACTTATTTCTTTGGAAATACCTTGATATGCAAACGAACTCCTGTTTTGCTAAATAGTGTTATGAGCAAGTGAGCCACCTGTTGGTCACTTCTGGCAACTGCACCACAGTTAAGTCACGTACTTTTTTTTTTTTTCCATGCTGGAATATGCTGTAGAACGGTGGTTATTAAACTTTGGTGTGTCCCAGAATCACCTGAAAAATGAATAAAGAACACACATAACTAAGTTTATTGAAACAGAAAAGGGGACCTGGGCCTTTGTATTTTCAGCAAGTTCTCACACCAGTCGAAGTTTGAGAATCATTGCTATAGATTATACACACCAGTTTTTCTCAAATATTTTGAGCAATTATTTTATGGTGAGCACCTATGA